GTGCAGCTCCCACCTGGATAATGCGACAGCAGCCAAAGTGCACCAGTACACTCGCCACACGCCAACTATCAGTGTCGAGGAGAACAAAATGATGAAGCCAGTTCATAGATGGGGATTATTGGGAGCCCATGACTGGTAAAGACCAGGTAGAAATTTGGCCAGGATGCCAGGGTAACACCCCTACTGGGATTTTTAACGACCACGGAGAGTCAGGACCACAGTCTTACGTCTTATCTTTTTTTTTTACAGTATAGTATCCCCATCACTATACTGAGGACTCATACAGACCACAGGATTAGCACTCCCTACTGGTCCCACTAACACCTCCTCCAGCAGCCACCTTAGTTTTTCCCAGGAGGTCTCCCATTCAGGTACTGACAAACACCTACTTAGCTTTAGTGGGTTGCCAGTTATGAGGTGCAGGATGATTCTGACATATACGTGATCTGTATCGCCATTGTTTAATTACCAGTTCACTCAAAATCCATCTTCTTTTTACTGGCAGGCTGGCAAGGCCTCTAATGGGTGAGATCTCTACCTCCTCTCTATAAATGTGTACATAAACCTAGAGCCTTCGCCAGCCCTGTTCTCTCTCCCTCAAAACAGGCTGTCAGTGGGTAACTGTGTGTTTACAATCTCATTGTATTTATCCCCTCGTGGGGCATTTAGTAGCAGAAAATCTTCAATGACACTTTATCACTCTAAGGAACATTTGGTCTTGTTACCTGATGTCACATTCTGTACCACAATCTCACAGGGCTACTGGCTTGCTCAGGTACTTTCTGTAAGCTCTTGAACTTCCTAGATCTATCTTAAGTTGCTGACATCTATGTCGCAAGTTATTAGGCAAAAACACAATCTTTCCCCAGTCAATACACTGGAGACTCTGACTTGACTTAAGTTTCACCTCTGTAGCAACTCGGTCTATTGGTCGGCAGTTCGTTTTTCTCCACTAGGACAAGGAAGTCAGTCAGAAGCTGCTCCCACACTCCCCTGCAACGTCTGCACTTAGGAGGAGCAGTCCTCCCCCTCATCATTTTTGGGCCTTTTGGGGTCACAGGCACTGGCCCTCAGGATCATTATGTTGTTTGGGGAGGGGACACTCCTTCCCCCTTGTATCCTAGCAAAAATTCCTAACCATTTCTCCAACCAAGTTGCAGTTTGGATCTTAAAGTTAGGCGGACCACATTCTTGTTTTTTTTAGGTTAGATTTTCACACTCACAAAACGGAAGGCTTGCTTTGGAGTCATTACAGCCCTGACGTTAATCTAAGACTGACAGCCTGGCTTGTTCTTCACAAGACGTCTGCTGCCTGCTGCCTGCTGCCTGTGAGTAAAGGAACACCCAGAGTGGTGTCCCATTGATGAGCTGACTTCCTCCAGCTGTGGTCGCCTAGCTATTCCTGCGACTCACACAAGCTCTATCTCTTTAATAAATACACCTCGTGTATGACACACATCCTTCCCACCCAGCCCAAACCTAGAGAGGCGAACATATAACGTTCTTTTAAACACAAGACAATCTCTGAACACCTTTTACTCCCTGGGACTCACACCATGTGACAGAAGATAATAACACAAGGAGCACACCATGATCACTCCAACTTTTACTTTTCCCAATCTCTAAATTACATACACTGAGCTTTCAACCAAATGTGTACGAGACAAATTCAAATCGTTAATATGCACTAAAAGGGCACCATCCTACTCTATCATCTAATTTAACAAATTCCCCTTAATTGATTGTGTAGCAGAGGGTACCTGCACATAAAACCACCCCTTAATATGGGCTTTTAGGGGGTGTATGGAATAACTCTGCTTTTAAACATCCTTGCTACTCTGTATTTGTCTGTGTAGGTGTCCACCTAACATCTCCCCAGAAAGTATGAAGCAGCGTAAAACCCTACGCAGTGGATCCAGTTTAGGCCCGTCTCCTCAAAACTCATCTTTTTATCAGCAGAGAGATACAGCTACGATCGAGTCTGCAACTTGGTGAAAGCTTTCCCTGCCCTCTATAACTGTGTACCATAACCTAGAGCCTTCACCTCTAACTACACACACACTCGATCTCCCTTAAAACAGGCTGTGAGTAGCATTACTCATTCCCCTCCAGGACTGCTGCACGAACTGCCCCCCTTCCTAGGCTCTAACCTTCAGTTCGCACTGCCACACCTCACAGCAAGGGTCTGACATATCTTTAGACTGTGGAAGAAAACTACAGCATCCAGAGAACAGCCAAGGGGGGAACATGCAAATTTCACACATAGGTGTCCCAGATATACCTGTAAAACTTACACAAAACATTTATTATTGAACAATCTCATATAATAATAATTGCTTACACTTATACAGCACTTTTCTGGACACTCCACTCAAAGTGCTTTAAAGGTAATGGGGATCCTCTCCACCACCACCAATGTACAACTCAAACTGGATGATCCGACAGGAGCCACAGAGTGCCAGTACAGTCACCACACATCAGCTAGTGGAGAGGAGTACAGAGTGATTCAATCCATGGGATTAGGAGGCCACGATTGTTAAAGAAATTTGGCCAGGACGCCAGGGTAACACCCCTACTCTTTTCAAGAAACACCCTGAGATTTTTAATGACCACAGAGAGTCAGGACCTCGGCTTTACATCTCATCGGAAAGATGGCGCCTTTTTGCAGTATAGTGTCCCCCTCACTATACTGGGGCATTCTTTATTTTCTGGCTGCAGGGTGTGCGCCCCCTTCTGGCCTTTTAGTACCTCTTCCAGCAGCAACCTTAGTTTTTCCTAGGAGGTCTCCCATCCAGGTAGTGACCCGGCTCACACCTGCTGAGCTTCACTGGGTTGCCAGTTGTGAGTTGCAGGGTGATATGGCCGCTGGCTAAATGTATTTATATATCTAAAGTTTACAATAGCACATTATAATTCATTTTATAATTCAATTAATTCATTATAATTCCAGATCAAGTGTGGAAAAGTGATTATGATTATGTTAGAAGGGAGCTCACAAAAAGTATAATATAAACTGTAGACCATAAAATATTTAGATATGTAACATCTCCTGTATATCATGTGCTAAACAGATTTAGCATCAATTAAATTAAAAAAATTCAATTTAAATTAGCATCTGGGAAATTTCATCCGTTTAGAAAGACCACTAGTAATACTTCTGACGGAGCTTACGTCAGCTTTATTAACTGGAATTTTAAGGGACATAAGGTCCTATACCAGCTCCATCACCTGAGGCTGGGGATTTACCTTAGTTCAGAAGCCTAGTTTTTCACACTGTGAAGGCATGAGAAGCACTCCTTATCTCACTTCCGTGGGAGGAGCAGGGAAAAGTTAATTCCACGCCTACTGTCGCATCCCAATCCACTGCTATTCCAAACAGGAGATGCAGTCTAATATACTGGCAGATCTAATAATACAGCCGTTCGCGATTCTGACAAATGAAAGGGGCACCTTAATGGGATGATAGCAGTTATAGAGCTATCTGACTTCTGACTGATTCTTACTTCACCTGGCTTTCGAAGTATACAGGTATCAGTCAAGGTAGTA